TCAGCTCTCACTGGACCGATTTCTTTTAACAATACGTCAAAAGATCACAAATTGTATCTAGTTGAAGACATTACCCTTAAAAATTTAAAAATTTTCCCTCGTTCCCCGCAAATGGGGGAAATATCCAAAAAAATTACAAATTTAAAAATCGGTAAATTTTATCATTTTTTTCACTTTTTTTTCTTAATACTTCCATAACTTTTTCAAAAATAAACAAATAAACATAATTTTTTTTTAANTGAAAAATCAACAAATCAACATAATTTTTTTTTATACTAAAACCTTAGATATTTCCCTTTTATTTGATATCATTTTTTTGAAAATCTAACACTTAACCTGCTCATTGGGGGAGATTTAAAATAGCAACTTTTTTACAAAAACTAACTTTTTCAACTTAATTTTTGAAAATGTTCCGGAAATACTGCGTCCTTTAAACATATATCAAATTAAAGCTTATTTTATGTACTACAAAATGAAAAAAAAAATTTTTCCCGACGACCTATCTACTATGTGCAAATTGCTGTCAAAATTTAAAAAAAAATGTAATATTTGCGATAAAAATCACCTTCTATAAGGATGTTTTTTGTACTTAAAACTGCCATAACTTTTTCAAATATTAACAAATCAAAATAATATATTTTTATATTGAAACCTTAGGTAATTTCCTTTCATATGATATCATTTTTTTTTTGAAAATCTAACACTTATTCTGCTCACAAAGGGGATTTAAAATAGCAACTTTTTTACAAAAACTAACTTTTTCAATTTAATTTTTGAAAATGTTCCGGAAATACTGCGTCCTTTAAACATATATCAAATTAAAGCTTATTTTATGTACTACAAAATGAAAAAAAAAAATTTGTCCCGACACTTTATCTTCTGCATGTAAACGGTTGCCGTAGTTAAAAAAACACTATTTTTGTGTTAAAATTTTCGATTTTCGATTTTTAATTTTCAACTTAAAAATGCTATAACTTTTCGAAAAATGCATGTATCAGCACAATTTTTTTTTTTTTAAATACATTATAAGTACATCTTCCATTTGACATACTTTTTATTAAAATTAGACAATTTCCCCTTATATAGGGGGGGTTCAAACTTTGAAACATTGTATAAAAAATAGAACTTTTTCAACTGAACTTTTGAAAATGTTCCGGAAATACTGCGTCCTTTAAACATATATCAAATTAAAGCTTATTTTATGTACTATAAAATGAAAAAAAAAAATTTGTCCCGACGACCTATCTTCTATGCGCAAATGGCTACCGTATTCAAAAATATGCTATTTTTCTATTAAAATTCTAGGTTTTGTATTTTATTTTATTTTAAAATATCTTATTAGGAGAATATATTGACTTTCATGAATATTATATAAATTAATTGATATAGAATAAAGTTCATAAGACATAAGAAATTAAACTTATTAAATTTTTTTTACTTCTTTATTTTCATACTAAATTTAATAATTATAATTAGTATTTATTCATATATTATATTTTAAAATCAAAGAACTACTAATTAGGATATAATCAAAGAAATAAGAGTTGATGTTGCTTTTGGAATAATCCACCAATTTCTCTAAATGAAATACTATCTACAGATTTGCATCGAAACGTTTCTTATGATAGTGATTTTAATCACTGTCAAATATCATCTATACTTGTCCCATCTATGCCTTGTCTACACTGTGCCTCGACCCCACTGTGCTTCCGTTTTTTTTTTTTTATAGATGCTTGATATCTTTACCTTTCATTTGGTATATTTTTTTTTATAAATTTAACCCTTTACTTGCCCACAGGGGGGGATTTAAAATGACAACTTTTTTACAAAAAATTAATTTTTTCAACTTAACTTTTGAAAGTGTTCCGGAAAGTCTGACACCTTTATATATATCCATAATTAAAGCTAATGTAATATACTTTATAATGGTAAAAAAAAATTTCGGACTTCATTTTATCTTCAGGGTGAAAATAGCTACCGAATGCTATTTTTGTGTGAAAATTCTCAATTTTGTATTTTACATTTTTAAGTTTATTATGCTATAACTTTTTGAAAAATGTATGGATCATCACAATTTTTTTATGAGAAGTAGTATTTATATAGATCTTTCATTCGACATACTTTTTTTTTAATTCGGACCATTTCCCTTAATACAGGGGGGATTCAAAACATAAAAATGCATATAGAAAGTAGAACTTTTTCAACTTAACTTTTGAAAGTGTTCCGGAAAGTCCGACACTTTTATATATATATTAAATTAAAGCTAATGTAATGTACTTTATTATGAAAAAAAAAATGTTGAACTTTATTTTGTCTTCACGGTAAAAATGGCTACCGAATACTATTTTTGTGTGAAAATTCTCGATTTTATTTTTTACATTTTTAACTTTATAATGCTATAACTTATTGAAAAGTGTATGGATCAACACAATTTTTTTATGAGAAATAGTATTTTTTAATAATCCCTTTTTCATTTGACATACTTTATCTTAATCAGGATATTAATAAGGAAATAGCAGATCATGAAGCTTTTGGAATAATCCACCAATTTTTTAAAAATAAACTATCTAAAGATTTGCATCAAAGCGTTTTTTTTTATAGTGATTTTAATCACTATCAGATATCATTATACTTGATCCAATTATGCCACGTCACCACTGTGCAGGGTTATTTCAATTTGATTAATTAGGTATGTGTTTAGCGTTGATAATGGTCACATTATTCCTGAAATACGTACTTTTTAGTAATTTTTTTGTGGCTTTTTGAGTAAATATTTTTAATATAGTTTTAATTTTTAGTAATATATACACAAGTAATCAAATTTTATTATTGTACTTATACCAAACTGAATGCGAATCCTCGATGAATTTTTATTAGTCATCTTATTAATATAATATCATTTTTAAATTCCTATGAATTAATTTTAACAAATAAATATAAGTTAATTTTTTTCTCGTGATATTCAATAATTGTACATTAAAATATAAAAATTTGCTGTTGTGAGTGTTAAATTAAATGAAAAGATGCTTATCTTATCTAATAATCACTTAATTGTATTCTCTCATAGTCCGCAGTAGACAGTGTTGATTTATAAATATTTAAAGATAGTTACATTTTGTTTTCATTGGGATATTTTTATGAACTTCCTCTATTTAAAAAAAATACTTCCTTTGAGCTAATTTATGACCAAACATTTTTTCAACGAATCATAATTTGAATACTGATGAGAAAAATAAATAAATAAATATATATATATATATATACAAATAAAATTTACTTATATATATATATATAAATAAAATTTACTTATATATATATACAAATAAAATTTACAAGTAAATTTTACTTAATTTTAATAAAAAAAAAGTAAATTTTTGCAAAATTATGCTCTAAAAAATGTTAAAATAACTTAAAAACGTTATAAATAAAAAAAACTTGCAAAAATTACGAAAAGTTTTTTCTATAACTAATCAACTTTTTTTTTTTTTTCACAACCGGCTTAGTTGTAGGCCGCCCTGGAACTACCGTTAGGTATTACTTCAGGGCGGCCCACGCCGTCTCTAAAACTCATACCACCACGTTGTGGATCAGCCCGAAATTAATCAAGAGCTAATTCACAACGTGGTGTGGCCTCCCCCGTTAGCCGGATCCCAGAGTGGGATCCGTTGCCCGGGTTACACCACGTGGAAGTGGGGGCAGGACTTTGCGAAGGGGGCAAAAATAACTCACAAAAACATAAAACATATAAACACGAATACCTAAGGCGCCGGCCTAAACCAGCGCCTCAGGTCCTCCTGTGCCGGGCGGCGTGGCTGCCTCTGTCTCAGGATAACTAATCAACTTGTAAAACAAACATTTAAATAAATCAATGTTGTAAGAAACAAAAATATTGTAAAATATTAACATTCTAATATGTTTTATAGGTAGGTAAAATAATTATGGAACAAGCTGCAAAGTCTAACATGAAACGAGTCACTTTGGAATTAGGAGGCAAAAGTCCTCTTGTAGTATTTGATGATTTTAACGGTTAGTTTACTTATTTAAATAGCATAGGTTATTAGAATCGACACAGTATCTTTTCCCTGTATAAAAGAAATTTTTATACGATAACAATAGACATAATTATTCTGGAATTTTACACTCCTCTAACTTACGTCATCATCTAATTTATAGTTTGTATAATTTGTGAAATATGACATTTTTTTTGGTGCTTCTACACAATATTCTGTTTGTTTAAAAGAAATTTCATATTATTTTTCTAAGTTCAATATCTTCATATATTGTTTTCAATTCCTTCTTATATGTATATAATACAAATATTTTTAGTATGACAAAAATGTTTTCGGTGTTCTTCTAGTTATACTATAAAACTTTATTCATATCTTCTTCCTCGCCTTAATCCCAACTCCTTGGGGTCGGCCACCCATATCCTAAACTTACACTTGATATGATCTCCCACATCATTTACGTTCACATCAGCTGTCCTCATTTTGCATTCAATAGCATCCCTCCATCTCTTTTTTGGTCTTCCTCTACCTCTTATTCCTTCAACATTCATTTCTATAACTGTTCTTACAGCTTCCGATTCTTCTCTCCTCATAATATGACCAAACCATCTAAATCTAATTTCTCTCATCTCATCTACGATTGATGCTACACCTATACTTTCTCTTATATGCTTGTTCCTTATCCCTATCCTATCTTCTCTAATCACTCCACTCATCCATCTAAGCATTCACTTAGTTTCACTCTATTACACTTATTCTCTGCTCTACTTTCTTATTAACCGCCGAACACTCTGAACCATACATCATAGCTGGACTCACTACAGTCTTATAGAATTTACCTTTCAGCCTCATTGGAATTCTTTTATCGTATAAGACGCCAGACGTTTCTCTCCACTTCAACCACCCCCACTTAATTGTTTGTTTTACATTCTCGTCAATACTACCGCTCTTTTGCATAACTGACCCTAAATACTTAAAACTTTCCACCTCTCTAATCATGTTCTCGTCTGTTTTCACTGGCCTCCTCATTTCACCTACCTCGTGTTCTCCTTTGTCAAACTCGTACTCTATATACTTTGTCTTACTTCTAATTATTCTTAAACCCTTTTTTCAAGAGCTAATCTCCACACCTCTAGCCTTTGATTAATTTCCTCCCTATTTTTTCCTATTAACACTATATCGTCAGTAAACAACATGCACCACGGCACCTCTCCTTGTATTTCTCTAATAATTTCATCCATCACTATAGAGAATAAGTAAGGACTTAAAACAGAACCTTGGTGCACTCCTACTCTTACCCGAATACTTTTTGTTACCTTCCCAAGCTTTTAAGTGCCATCATATATATCTTCTATTATATTAATGTACCTTTTCGGGACTCCTTTCCCCTTAAGGCCCCTTTAAAACTTCTCGGTACTCTATCATACACTTTCTCAAAATCTATAAATACCATACACAAAATACTGGCTTTATTGTTTACTTATCAGGCATAAATTCAAACTGGTTTTTGGATACCATGTCTCATTTCTTATTCTCTTATCTATTACCTTTTCCCAAATTTTCATACAATGACTCATAAGCTTTATGCCTCTGTAATTTCTACACTCCTGTATGTTACCTTTACCTTTAAATATCGGCACCACAATACTATTCCTCCATTCATTTGGAATTTTCCTTTCTAATGAGATTTTATTTAAAAGTTCCTTCAACCACCTTATGCCATCACCGCCTAATGTTTTCCATATTTTTACTGGTACTTCATCTGGTCCTACAGCTTTTTCTTTTTCTTTTTTCACAGCTTCCCATACCTCTTTCTCACAAATTAAATCTACCAGTCACTAAATCTACGAGATATCCTCTAATGTCTCTTTTGGATACTCCTCATTTAGTAATTTTTCAAAATATTCTTTCCACCTTTTTTCACATCATCATCACTCGAGATTACTCTATTTTCAATATATAATATACACCTTATATAATGATAATCTTTAGACCTTTTCTCTCTTTTTTTTTGCAAGTCTATAGATTTTTTTACCCCTTTCAATTTCCACCACCGGATCTTCAATTTTTCTCCCATGTTCCATCTGTTTTTGTATATTCTCTTCCCGGTACACCACAACTCCAATACCATCAGGCTATTTTGTGTTGTTACATTCTCGCTTGGTATAACTTTACAATCTTTTACTCGCTTTACGTTCTCCTCTTCCACATAAAATAATCAATCTGTGATCTATTTCTCCCACTCTTACAGGTTATATTATGTTCTTCATCTTTATAAAATAAGTATTAACCACATCAAGATCATACAATACTGCGAAAACCAGGATTCTTCAGTCTTATTCTTCCCATCATATCCTCTCCTCTCATTAGCAACACGTCCATTCATATCTCCACCTATCAACGCATCCTCATTGCCAGGTTCCCCTTGCATCACCTCATTCATCTCTCACCAAAACCTTGTCTATTTCATCACATCCTACTTGTGGTGCATAGGCACTTATTACATTCAGCACTTTTACCTCGAATATAAATATTACGACTACAGTTCTGTCACTTTTCCTAGCTACTTCTACTATTCTACTTTTCATATCCTCATCCAGTATTATCCCTACACCATTCTTTGTACTAGACTTACCTGAGTATATTATTTTATAACCCTCACCTATTTCCCTCGATTTCTCTCCTTTCCACTTAGTTTCTTGCACACAATAAATGTTAACTTTTCTCCTTTTCAATACTTCTACTAATTCTCTTTTTCTACCAGTTAATGTTCCAACATTCCAAGTATGTACTCTTACTTTATATCTATCTTTTTCTCCATCTGTCGACCTGACGCAACCTTATTAGTCGCCTCTTACGACTGGCAGAGGGGCCTTAGAAGTATTCTTATTCCCTATCCACAGGGAAAATAAATCTTTATTCATATATACTTTTAATAACAAATTATAATTTACTTTTTAAATTCAGTTGATGAAGCAGTCAAAATTGCTCATGATGCTGTATTTTCTAATATGGGACAATGCTGTTGTGCGGGAACAAGAACATTTGTACAAGAAGGCATTTACGATGAATTTGTAGAAAAAGCTGCGAAATTAGCCTCAGAAATGAAAGTTGGTAATCCATTTGAAAGTGACACTAAAGTTGGACCTTTGGTAAAATAAAATTATAAATTAAAAAATATTTTAAATTAATTTAAATTTTCTTAATGAAAAACGTCTGCTAATACCATTAAAAATATTAGATTGATGAAACACAATACAGCAAAGTTCTTAATTTAATCGAGTCTGGAAAGCTACAAGGAGCCAAATTGGAAGCAGGTGGGTCTAAAGTTGGAGATGTTGGATATTTTGTACGACCAACTGTATTCTCTAATGTTACTGATGATATGAGAATAGCCAAAGAAGAGGTAGATTATTTGCAATTTTTTTTTTTACAAAAAAATATATGTAACTTTTTGTGAAGATATTTGGACCCGTTCAGCAAATCTTGAAATTTAAAACTATTGATGAGGTAATCGAACGCTCCAACAATACTGAATATGGTTTAGCAGCTGGTATTTTGACCAAAAACATTGATATTGCATTAAAGTTTTCTGAAAGCGTCGATGCAGGATCAGTATGGTAATAATTTTTCACAATAAACTTTGTATAGGCTGAAGTGAGAAAAATATAAACAAATGAGGTAGTACATTAATTTTTTTCTTAAAATATTTAGTATATTTTATTTTAAATTGAAAAGTTTTGGTCCTTATATGTTTACTGTCATTTTAAATGTAAGTTTGAGATAAAAATCTCGTGTATTTATCCAAAAAAATTAATTTACAATTACCTCACTTTACCTTATTTCTGAACTATAATGGTCCATGATTTTATTATTATACTAATTTTTATTTTATTTTAATAATATTTTAAATTTATTCTTAAGTAGTCAAACATTTGATTTTTTAACTATTTTCATAGTATTTTCTTATAAATTAGTGGTGTTCTGGAAAACTGTATAAGTCAATTATTTATAAAAATAATTATATAATTGTATTAGTAAAATAATGGTACTCATGAAACTATATGTCTAATTATATTATAGTCGTTTTATCATTGATGATCATTAAAAAATGTTTACTTCCCGTGCATCATCAAGATATTTCATTAATTTTTCTTTTATAAAAATTTCCTTTTATTAAATCATAAAGACCTAGAATTCCTTTCTTGATATTTTAGTATTGTCATGTTATCTGATATATATTCTTTATGATAAATTTATAGGGTTAACTGCTATCTAGCTGTGAATCCACTATGCCCATTTGGTGGTTTTAAACAATCGGGACAAGGCAGAGAAATGTATGTTTCATATTATAAACATAAAATTAAATGTAATAATGTGTTAATATGATTTATATCTGTTTACAGGGGAGAAGATGGATTGAGTGGATATCTAGAAATAAAAACTGTTTCTATTAAAAAACATTTATAATCCTTTTTATGAAATAATTTATAATCTATGATACTAAATTAATTACATTTACAAAGTTTTGAGTTATTATGTTTCAAAATTTATTATTTAAAATATTGTTAGCATTTTTTTTTTTTTTTTTTAATGAATATTATTGAAAATAATATTATGTAAGCTTTATTTCTATTTGTGTTATAATATTAAAGAGGAAAATAGATTACTTTACTGGTATTTATTGATACTTGACGGGTAAAACCTAGGAAATTGTTATACATAGAACTTGGAAATGGCTTTTAGGAAAATGTTTACAAAAATATTTGTATGTATATGACATTGTTTTATTCTACAGATTAATACATTGGAGGGATTATTTTAATAATATTTTATTTAACCATAATAAATCAATGGTCTAGCATACAGAAAATGTATTGACAGTTTTAGCTTACATGAGTCAAGATATGGAATAAATTTAAGTAACTGAATGTTTCTATGTCAGTGGCATGCCCAGGGGGGAGGTCAGGGGTCATATCCCTCTCCATTGCTTTTTTTTTTCTAACATCGAGTACCTAACAGCAATAATTGAATAAAGTTGTAATTATATTTGTATAACAACATTACATCATATCATACAAAACACAAAATATTAATAAATATTTTAATGAGGCTTGACCTCTAAAGCCCCCTTATTAATTTTTTTCTAATTCTTTCACCCCCATTAGATGTATATAGTTGTATTAATACCTAATAGTTATGACACTCCTTTCCATTTAAAATTCCTGGGAACGCCACTGTTCCGTATACTTCAATTATTAAATTTTGAAAATAAACTATTTATAGTATTTTAAATTTAGAATTTACATTGACTCACACGACGATGTTTATTGTTTATGTATTTACAAATATTTTTAAATGGAGCCTTGAAAAATTCTTAATAGTGCATTTATATCTTACGTGTTACATTAAAATATATATGTTATTTTTTTCAATTAGAAAATTATATAGAATATATTAATACAATTTTGTTTGGTGCTAACATTTAAAAATATTTCCGGTTATAAATACTTGAATTAAGTTAAATAAAATACTTATACTTATAAAAAAGTGCTACAATTTTCGCCAAAAATATCAAATTAAAGTCGTAATTAGGAAAAGAATTAAGTTTTCCAAATTTAAAACTATTATTAGTGTTTTAATTTTGTAAAATATAAATGTATTTTAACTACTTATTTAATGAATAACTTCATTTATCCGGTTGCTTTCTACCCACCGACAAGTATGGACGTTTTATTGCATATAGAACGTTTATCTACACCGTTGCTCAGTTGTTTTCGTAATTGGCAATTTATCCTATAAACACTATAGTTTGACTATATGTTTTACTGTAGTTATGTCTAATCAGGCTTCGGTGGAGGTTGTTCTACCTCTCTAAATTGGCATCAATCGCTCGCGTTACATCTTCGGATGGAAATTTTTAAGATTCTGGTAAGAAATTCTGATTCGAAGTCTCCATGTGGCCCTCTAACATAAAAATTCAAAACCGCATTCACCACCTCACCGCTCTTTCTACTGAATGACTGTATGATGATCGACTCGGCTATTGTTGTCTCCGATAAGCTAATGACCTCAACTCATAATGACGGTATTATATACTTTCTTGATAACTATTCCAGACCTTTTTATGGGCTAGCTTTTTCGTCCAACAATAACAATAAAGGTGATTTAAATCTAGTGAAACTTGGTAAAGTTACCACAAAATTATTTAAAGGTATTCTTAACACCAAACCAATTAGTTCTAAACATGTTAAAATTACTTTCGATACAGTCTCCAATGTCAATACTTTTTTAATCTCGCCTTACCAGTCTGAAAATGGATTACACTTCAAATCCAATTTTATATAGTTTAGGTAGTATAAACCTAGACATAAATGTTTTGGAAATTGATTTTTGGGATAGTCTTGAGTCTTTTATCGAAGTTATTTCTTTCAAAAGAATAAAGTCTAAGCGAGACAATCAACTTTTCCCCCTCCATTTATTGAATTGAAATTTCTAGATCCGTCCTTACCCAAATATGTACCGATTTACGAAATCATTTTCAACATTTCTTCTAACATACGCAGTCCCGTCCAATGCGCCAAATGTTTTCGGTTTGGATACACACAAAAGTTCTGCTGTAGTAAAGAACGCTGTGGCCACTGTGATTTGACAGACCATAATGCTTCTACTTGCTGGGCAAATCAACCTACCCACTCTCATGTATCTTCTGTCAATTGAACTATCCCTTCACCGATCGCCACTGCGCTGTATACACCAATCAAAAGGACATAAAAAAAATGTAAAAAAAGTAATAAGTCTCTTTCCCAATGAAGTTTATATTATATCTCGTTCTTCTTTCGTAGATTTCTACAAGGAAGGTGTCTTAGCTCTCTTTTTTTTAATATATATATAAATATATAAGCATTATCAGTAATGACCTCTCCTCTCTCTTCTGATTAATCACTTGATCACGCTGTGGCTATTCTCAACTACTTCTTTTCTATCCTTTACAAAAACCTCCTCTCTTGTTATTTAATTACAGCTCCTGAAAAAGAGTCGTATAATCATTTCTACAAGAAAATATATACCTCTCTCTATACCCATTGTCAATCTAGACGGTCATTTAATACATCCTCCAATACTGTTACTTACTTGTTAGACTTAACTTAGATCCTAAGTTAAGATGAGTTTCTCATTTCCAGTTCCTTTTTTTCTATACATCTAGCTGGTATAATTTTGTACGTTATATTCCAGAAGTCCTATAATCGTCTTCCCATTTATGAGTAGCCTTAGGAGGCCCAAAACATCACCCCTACTCTTCATATTCTAACTAATTTCCTAGGCTCCTCACCTTTCTAACCTTGAATTCTTTTCTTTAATAATTATTAATAATTTATTCTCTCGCTACACTTCTATAAACTTTCTCAACTTTCGTTTAATTTTTACTGAGGAGTCTACCTGATTATCCAAAACAGGTTATACTTATTATATACCAAATCTTAATATCTTCTTTTTCACCAACCTGCATCCATTTTCTTCCTCCTTTACCACTGAATGCATTGCTATTGTTAATGCACTACATTTTTGTTTCTCAGGATACCTCTTTTCTCATCTGCTCAGATTTGCAGGTATGTCTTTTAGCTATTAATACTAACCATTTGGATTCCCAAACTTTCTCTATAATCCTTTCAATTAGAGCACTCTTCCTCAAAATTTTATTGTCTAGTAATGAAGTTCAATTAAATTGGTTCCCTAGCCATGTCGGGACCTCGGTAATGAGTTCGAAAATTCTTAGGCTAAATACATATCATTTCTAAGTTATCCTTCCTTTCTTCCCCCTTATTCTGATGCTTTGCATTACTTTAAATCTAACCTGACGGAAGCATGGCTCATTAAGTGTTTTTTCCTCCCTAACAGCTTTGCCCAATGGCATCGGTCCAACGTACCTAGTCCTTCCAAAGTCCCGTAGTTCTAACAACTAGATCTCGCTCGCAATATCATTTCTAGCTTTGTACGATTCAGACTAAATCATAACCTTTTACCAGCATTCCCTTACAAATTATACCTTAACTCTGTTCCCTTTTGCCATTTATAAGAGGAACAAGTCATTGGAGACTTCCCTCATTATTTATTGAGTTACTCCTCCCTGGCGTCTAATAGGATCCTGCTTATAAAACTTTTAGAATCCAATGAAATTTCAAAATTTGTTCCCTCTATTATATTAAACTCTCGGTTTATTATTGTGATTACTGCCATTATTCATTTTATATTGAGCGCTGGTTGCATTATTTAACTACCTTATTATAATTTACTGTACATACTTTACTCATGTTATTATATTTAACACCAATTATTTTTGTAATTTATAACGCTAATTAATACTATATCATTTAATTCCTATGTAATTGTCGTGTTATAATATTTACATAATAAAAGCTATCAAAAAAAAACTTTGTTTATCGAAAGAAATTATCACTCTGTATGAATTCTTTTATTCTCTATACTGTACATCTAGATTAATAAAATAATTGAAACATGCGTTGCATATCACTTTTAAAATTATGATAGTATATATCTACCTACGCCATTGTAAATTATTCATTTAGTTAGTTGAGTTGTGTTCTAGTAATACTTTTCTAGTGCAGCGTGGTATTTAGTTTATTTTAAATTCAGTGTCAATATTTTATCGTTAAACATGGCGAATTCAAATGTAAAAGTGAAATATAATAAGGTATTTGTTTAATTAATTTATAAATGTTCCATATTAATGGAAATAATAATAATTATTTAAGTACAAAAAAATTATTAAAAAAATATTAATATTAAAAACTTAAGAAGTAGAAAATGATTTAATTATAAAAATATATACCTTTGTAAATATTTAATTAAAAATGAAAAGAAATATTGCCTTTGAAAATGTTTATTTTATTTAAATAAACTGAATATTTATAAGTACACAGTTATTCACTTAATTAATTGAAAAATAGAAATAATATTAATAATTTTTTTATTATTTTTTTTTAGTTCAGTGTCTTTCTTAATTTATGAATTATGAATTTCTTTTTTCGTTCATTTCTTATAGCTTGGTAGGGTATTAACTTTAATTTGTCAAATAGGTAAATATAACCTACACAGAAGTAAGATTGTGGCTTCAGTCATACTCTTTCTTTCCAATCGCAAAAAATTTTTACAAAAATAGCAACATCCGCTTTTCATCTACAGTCTTAACTCTAAATTGTTAATAACTTCCGAAATACTGGTCCAAAAATTGTTTCGACCAGTCATTTTCTTAATTAAATCATTATCTAATAAATAAGCTAGTTAATTATATGTATTGCTATTTGAAATATTAATTTTAACACCCTTCTAAGATATAAAAGAATGAACAAAATGATTTATGATTGATAAATTGAAAAAAACATTGTATTAAATGAAACCAATAAAAAATTATTAATATTATTTTTATTTTTCAATTAATTAAGTGGTTCATAATAAGTGAATAACTCTGTATATAGTTAAAAATATTGATATCTCGTGGCTATAATATATAGTAAATAAAAAAACTAATCCAATTAGATTAGTACCTAAATTAATTATAATTGTAATAAGTAAATTAATTTATATTAAATTTATTTATTATGAACAAGTAAGGTTATCACTAAAATATGGTTGATATGTTATTACAGATATTTATTGACAATAAGTTCATCGATTCTATCAGTGGAAAAACATTTATAACGATAAATCCGACAAATAAACAAAAAATTGTCGACGTTGCCGAAGGAGACAAGGTAATTTTAATTAATCAGTAACATTAGTATTTTAAAATTTAGTGGTTAGACATTTTAATTTTACATACAAATAAGTTTTTAATAGTGATCGAATGAGAGGAATGCATTGAAAGTAAAACTTATTCCAGACACGCAACCAGAATTTTTTTCAGAAGGGATTATTATTTTATAAAAATTTTTTTTTGCTTATCAAAAAGAAATTTAAATTAAAGGGGAATTTTACAATTCCTTACCTACTGGATGTGTCGAAATTTTCTTAACTTTTTGTGTTTTTTTAATTCACGCCTCTATTCTTTTGATATGTCTAAGTAAAGTTCTTTAATCTTATTTTCAAACCAAATTTAATTTTCTTGTATGAAAAACTTAACACTAATATATCAACTTTATACTAGGGTTGAATAAATGAAAAAATTAAAAATTTCTTTGATTTTTATCTCATTTAGACTGGAGAACTGCATTTAGATTTTTTTCATCACCTCTTTTTTTGACATTATTACTAATTTTTAAAAACGAGTATTTACGTGTAAAAATTGATTTTTATTTTTATATATTAAATATAATTCGAACAAAATATCAATTCAAATTGTTATGTTTAACCTATATTTTTGGTTCTATAAAGTTGATTTTTTTAAATTTTATAATTTAAAAATGTTGAACTTTTAACCTTTTTTCTAGTTTAACTGGCAAGTATAAAATTGATATCATTAAATACTAGATTTTATAAAGATTTCAAAAATGGTTTTGTTTAGATTAACTTTGGTCAGGAACTTAAATAATAGAAAAGTAAATTTATGAAAAAAGCCGAAAATTTCATTAAAATCACTTTTTATATTTTCTGTATTTATATCGTAAAAAATAATTTCTATGTAATCTTTAGAATTTAAATAAATGATACAATTAAAATATTCAGAACTATATTCCTTATAGTTATTTCCTATATTTTTTAACTAATTAGTAACATCAAATATCAAAAATTAGTGGCGAGAGAAAAAATCTAATTGCTGGTTTGATATTAGCACGTAGAATTAAATAATAAAAGTGTATTTTTGAATCTGATGAAAATTCCATGTAAAACCTTTAATTCATAATTAACAACAAATTATTTTCCGAACAGTTTTTTTGTTTTTTTATAACATAAAAAAAAAAATGTTATCTGAATATGTAATGTTACAAAAAGTAACAAAATTAAAACACGAAACTTACATTCTGGTGACGTGTAATCAAAATTTTCATTATGAGTTTTGTCTGTATAATTACAACCAGTAAGTATTTAATTAATATTATTAGGCTGATATTGATCTTGCTGTTAAGGCAGCCAAAGCTGCATTTAAAATTGGATCCAAATGGCGTACAATGGGTGCAACTTCTAGAGGTCAGTTAATATTAAAATTAGCTGATTTGATAAACGAGCACAAAATTGCTTTGGCCAATTTGGAGTCTTTGAATAACGGAAAACTATATGAAGACTCTCTTATAGATATTGATGCATCAATATCCACATTAAAATATTATGCTGGATTTGCTGATAAAATTCACGGCAAAACAATACCGACGAGTAAGTATTTAAAATAGTATATTACTCAAATAACTGTTGGGTTTAACCACTAAGCATTCATAATACAAAAATTGTATATAATTGAAAAATATAATAATTTTCAATCTTTTCAAATACTGTGAAGTACTGCTCGAGAGAGTGTACTAAAATCAACACATCAATATATAAAAAAAATTTTTGAACTTATTTGCATCCTTTGATAAGAAATAGTTAACCTTACAATATTATTCCGTATACTAAAATTGGACCCATTTTTTAATAGATGGCCCATACTTTTCATACACTAAGCTACAACCAGTTGGTGTAGTTGGTCAAATCATTCCTTGGAATTATCCCATTTTAACAATCGCTTGGAAATGGGGACCAGCTCTTGCCACTGGATGTACAATGATACTTAAGCCAGCGGAACAAACTCCTTTGACGGCATTATACATAGCATCACTTACAAAAGAAGTAATTATTCTTAATCAGATATAGTTTTGATGACAATTGAAACATTACTTATTTTAGGCAGGATTTCCTAATGGTGTTATTAATGTCGTTCCGGGATATGGACCAACAGCTGGTGCAGCTATAGCTAGTCATCCGGATATTAATAAAGTGACATTTACTGGTTCTACGGAGGTAAATAAATTTAATATACTTAGCATTAGTATATATATTTTTTCTATTTGATTAATTTTAGTTTATTTACTATTATACTACAACTTATTTAAAATAAAGACTTCAATATGTATTAAAATAAAATATTCCATTACTATTAATTTTATATAAACATAATGAATAATAAATATTAGTAAACGAAGAGACCCTTAAAAATCCCACTGCGAATACTATTATAGTAGTTGATAAAATAAACAATATTTATTACTACATTTTTATAATGAAAATCATTTTTATTAGATACATAATATTTATTCTATAATATTTTTATATTTTCAAAGTTTTAAAATTCTCTCCTAAACTATTAATAAAATTGTGGCCGGATATCATTTTTTCTAGGCAGTACAAACCTATATTTAAGTACTGGGTTACTCTAGTTAAATCATTCAATTTCTTTAATATTAAATAAATTACATTTGTTAAGAAAATAAGTAATTAATTAACGCTATTAAATCTTTTTCATATTCTGATCAGAATTTTTCTTTTAGGTAGGTAAAATAATAATGCAGGAAGCCGCAAAGTCCAACATGAAACATGTTACTTTAGAGTCGGGAGGCAAAAGTCCTCTTGTAGTATTTGATGATTTTGATGGTTAGTTAGTCTTTTTATTTAAAAAAAGTGGCAACAGACATAAAAAAAAAAAAACACATCATGGTAAAATTAATACCTTCTCAGCTTCGCATCGAAGCTAAAATTAATTTTATAAACGTAATAGAGTCATCTCCTTAGTTTAGAAATAAATATCTCAAAATTTAGAAAAATCATATATTTTATTTAAAAATTATTAATGAATATATAAATATTTTTTAAATTGAGGAAATTTCTTTTATACACCTTAATATCTTTTATCATTCTCCGCATATTATAGCTCTAACAATAGTTCAAAACTTTCAATACATTGTTTTAGAAATAATATATTACGAGAATAATAAATATTTATTTAATACTTTTATTCATTTCAAAACTTTAGTTGACGAAGCAGCTAGTATTGCTCGTGATGCAGTTTTTGCAAATATGGGTCAATGCTGTTCGGCAGGAACAAGAACTTTTGTACAAGAAGGCATTTACGAAAAATTTGTTGAAAAAGCTGCAAAATTAGCTTCAGAAATGAAAGTTGGTAATCCATTTGAAAGTGAAACTAAAGTGGGACCTTTGGTATGACGTTAAATATTGTGATTTTTTAACAATAACATTTTTTCATAATATAATATACCAGGTGGATGAAGAACAATACAACAAAGTTCTAGGTATGATCGAGTCAGGAAAAAAAGAAGGGGCTAAATTAGAAGCGNCAGGAAAAAAAGAAGGGGCTAAATTGGAAGCGGGTGGGTCTAAAGTTGGAGATGTTGGATATTTTGTACGACCAACTGTATTCTCTAATGTTACTGATGATATGAGAATAGCCAAAGAAGAGGTAGATTATTTGCAATTTTTTTTTTTACAAAAAAATATATGTAACTTTTTGTGAAGATATTTGGACCCGTTCAGCAAATCTTGAAATTTAAAACTATTGATGAGGTAATCGAACGCTCCAACAATACTGAATATGGTTTAGCAGCTGGTATTTTGACCAAAAACATTGATATTGCATTAAAGTTTTCTGAAAGCGTCGATGCAGGATCAGTGTGGTAAATTTTCATACAACTTATATTTCATTTATTCATAATCTACACACATTTTAGCTTCGATACTTATGTTACCTAATATAAATAAAAAAAAAATGTATTATGGCTATCAAAGTTTCACAAATTTATAAAATATTTATTCATATATTACACTTACTCGTATTATCATAAAACTTACAATCACCATATAAATAAGGAGATAAAAGTTTATTTTGCTTTTGAAATAATCCACCATTTTTTAAAAAAGTTAAACATTACTACAGATGTGCATCGAAGCGTCTCTTATGATAGTGATTTTAATCACTATCAGATATATCTATACTTGTCCCAACTGTGTCATGTCCACACTATGCTACAATACCACTATACTACTGTTTTATTTGTTTACTAATTTATTCTTATCAACAATAGTTTTTTATAGGTTTAGAATCGAGTGTGATTATGAATTATTTTAAGGCATCTGTTTTGTTCTGGATCTTTTATACTTAAATATAAATTTTGATTTTCGATTATAAAGGTTTCGGTTTTAATTAAATTCATTAATCTTTTTATAGACAAAAGGTATTCTCAAGATTTTATCTTGGTGAGAAACATGTATAAAAAATTTTTTATTTACATTATAGGAATCTATAATTTATGTACTTTTCCCTCAGCGCGCTAATATTCTAAACGATTTTATGTGACGAGTTCTTATTCATAAGATGAAAATGAAGGTGGGCTGATTACTCTAAAATTTTAGAAAAATCATTTGTATTAATATTAAAAGACTACTTTAATATATTTTTAGGGGGACAAGAAAATAAAATTTAGCTCTTATAATCCACCCTGCGCTTAACAGATGAAGATCGTTACTACAAATGAAAATAACAAAAAAATTAAAGTACATATTTTTTTTTATGGGGAAAGATAATAAATATTTGGTAGTACAATATAAGTCATTCTACGAACTGTTTAAATATTTAATTTATAAAGGTTCTGGTTCGGTTCCCGTACTTATTTCAATTTGGGTTATAAATATTAAAAAGATTTTGGATTTTAAAATAACCACTTTTTTTAAATTCTATTCCATTCCCTTCTTATATCCATAAAAATATATACTTTTGATGATTTATTTATTTGGTTTCATAATGTTTACTATAATAGGGTTAACTGCTACGATGTTTTCAATGCACTGAGCCCATTTGGTGGATTTAAACAATCTGGTCTTGGCAGAGAGATGTATGTTTTCACTTTATACTTAACTATGTTAAGTGATATAGTATTTTCTAATGAATATTTATATTTTCCAGGGGAGAGGATGGTTTAACTGGACATCTGGAAATAAAAACTGTTACTATGAAGAAACAATTATAAATCATTTAGGAATTTATGTGTAATAATTTTTATTATTGATATTTAGTTTAAAATTATTCGAATTATACAACATATGAAATAAATAAAGTAATTTTTCAATACCCTAGAATTTTTTTTTGTGTTATATTATTGGTAACTATTTTATAGGTTGCTATTTTTAAAGAAAGCTACGCATTATAGGTAGCTATTTTATTTTAGAAAAGCCAACTAGAACAATTTTTTAAATAAAAATAATAATTTAGTTTTACTAAAATGTATAATAATTTAAAAATACAGTTTGAAAACTGTAACTGAGTTAACTAATAACTATAAAAACAAAAATATTCTTAATGAATAACAGATTCATTTATGAAGTCATTAAAAGTCATTTAAATAAATAGATATTTCAAAAAACCATTAGTTTACAATAAACTAATGGTTTACAATAAATCTTAAATATTAATTGTAATATAAACAAATTTATCATCATGATAAACATAGAAAAATCAAACATTCAGATTTATGTGATCTTTGTATTACGATAAATGTTCTATTTTATTAATTATTTTAAACCTATATTCATTTAGAACGTAGAAAGTTACCTAAAAATGGTCTATTATTGAACAATTTAAAAAAATGTCAAAATCTATCGATTTTATCGTAATTTTTTTTTTTGAGATTTCCTTCATTTACGAGGAACGAGGAAAATTTTTCAATTTTTGTTTTCAACTACAGTAGAACTCCAATTATCCGAACTCCGACCATCCGAATCGCCGATTATCCGAATCACTTTCAGAAAAAATCAGAAAAAAATTTGTCCAAAGTCCGCGGCGTCAGTGTAGGCACAACACGTGGTAAGAGTTCCCACTCCAGTTCCGGCGCATTGCAGTCACCTGTCATTGTTTGTTTTGATTAGTCAGTGAATGGGTCCCGGTCCCCATTAATTCGGATAATTGGAGTTCTACTGTAGATACTATTTGTGATCTTTTGATATATTATTGAAAAATATTGGTCAAGTGAAAGTTGAGAAAAAGTAGTGACAGACACACAAATAAATAAACACACTATGGTAAAATTAATATCTACTCAGCTTCACATCTAAGCTAAAAAATAATTAATATATAATTATATAATAAATATTTAAATTGGTAATAATTTTTATACCTAGTATTTATCAAATAAATTATTTTTTATACGTATTTATTTTTTATTAATACTTAATAGAAAAAGATTAAACATTTACCGGAAATACTGCAATCTTTAAAAAAGTGTAAAATTAATGCTTGTATTACATACTATATGTTTAAAAAAAATTTTGTCTCGAAGACTTGTCTTTTACATATAAAATTAGCGTACTCATGGGTGTATATTATATTATTATGTTAGTGTCATATTCCACTATGACAAAAAGAATATATGCGAAGTTACATTTTTTTCGTTTGGAGGGGTAGTGAAATTTTTTTTACGTATATACACCAAGATGAAAGTCTAATTACACCACTGTATAAAAAGTACCCCGAAGTTAAATCAAAAAATATTATTTTTGTGTAAAATCCATATTTGTTGTGATGTTATAATTTTCTACTTCATTTTTAGCTTCGCATTGAAGCTGAGAAAGTATTAGTTTTACTACGATGTGTTATTTTTTACTCTTTATTTATTTTTTTTTTTTGCCTGTTACCACTTTTTCTCAGCTCTCGCCGAACTGATTTCTTTCAGCGATACGTCAAAAGATCAAAAATCGTATTTAGTTGAAGACATTACTCTTTAAAAATTGAAAAAATTTCCCTCATTCCTCGTAAATGGAGAAAATCTCCAAAAAAATTACAAATTTAAAAATCGCTAATTTTCAACAATTTTTCAATTATTTTTACTTTAAACTGCCATAATTTTTTTAAAAATGACTAAATCTATATAATATTTTTTTAATAGATGCATAATGTCTTTCTATCATTTGGTAAATTTTTTTATAAATCTGACATTTACTTGCCTACAGTGTGTCGTACGTTGGTAGTGCCCCAACGTAGACACAAAAGTTTAACACAAATTAATTAATGTTTATATATATTTATATTGACGACGAGTTCGTCGTTCGAGCTCTTCTCGAGTCCTCCCGTTGGATAAACTGATCCGTCTCAATCCTTCTAATTAGTGGACTACTAAAGGGGTAGAGTTTAGACCCGTCAGCAAAGTCTAGCTCAAAAGTAACAGACTGAAGGGTGGCTCCTTGTCAGCTATCAGCACAACTACCTTTTTACTATACCCACTGAAGGACGGTTAAGCCCAAAAACTAGCCAGCTCGTACACTAATTATTAAGATTGACTAAAGGACTAGCAGTCCAACCTAAAAAAATAAAAAAATTTTAACTTTATTAAGTCTTCACGGTGAAAACAGACATCAAAGTTTATAAAAAAAATTTTTTTTTTATATTTTTAACTTTATAATTCTATAACTTTTTGAAAAATGTATCGATAAATATAATTTTTTTATGAGAAATATTTATATCCCTCTTTTATTCGACATACTTTTTTTTTAAATAACACCATTTCCCCTTATATATTTATATATTCATATATTACACTTATAAATCATAAAACTTGTAATCAGGATTTAAATAAGGAAATAAGAGATCATGTAGCTTTTGGAATAATCCACCAATTTTTTAAAATTAAACACTATCTACAGATTTGCATCGAAGCGATTTTTATGATAGTGATTTTAATTACAGTCAGATATCATTAAACTTGACCCAACTCTGTTACATCCCCACTGTGCCGCGACCCAACTGTGCTGGGTTTTTTAATTTATAGCTTAACTATTCCGATTCCGGAGGTAGCTTGAATTCAGGTTGTTATTGTATTTTTTAGCTTCGATGAGAAGGTATTGGTTTTACTAAGATGTGTTTTTTTTAGCTTCGATGCGAAGCTGAGAAGGTATTGGTTTTACTATGATGTGTTTTTTTTTTTTTTTTT